CCTACCCCCAGTCTTAGCTATGCACTTAAATGTCTTTTAACGAGACATAAGAAAATGATGGTTCACCTAGTTTTTTTCAACATTTTTTCAAGTATGTTTTTTCATGATCGCAAGCGGCGCGAAGCCCCACTTCACCTCTGTGTGAAAAAGTTTGAATATTGTCGAATTTTAGCCGTTTGCAGAAACAAATACAAAAGGTTATTACGCTTACAATATCAAATAGAAGCATAAATTTTATTCATGTAGGCAACTTGTTTAACACAATCACATATGCATTTTCTCGGATCTGCATTGGTTGAAACCAAAAGATATAAGTTTAGCATGTCCGACACTCACACGTATAAGTTTAACACCCGATAGATCGATATTTGATATTATGTAAGGTGTTAAAGTAGCGAATCCAAATTGGTATAGTCTCAGCTCTTTTATATCCTAATTATTTGGCGTAAAATGTTTTGGCTAACTCTCCTTACCTTGCATCGTTTGATGGGCGAGAATTTTTCTCATACGTGTGTGTCTTTTAATGGCGGCTATGATATTTTAGTTCAACGGGTCTCTGTCGAAGCATTGTCGACCCTTTTATTGCTTCGATTTTTTCTTCCGTTATAAGTGTAACACTCCATTGTCTACTTTGTTCCGTTACAAAAGAAAAGTGTTCTCAAGACAATTCATAGCATCAAAAATTTTTTGGCAGATTTAATTTTTTTTTCAATGTTTCTTTAATATGTTTTGGATCTGCTGATTTGCGTGGTTCTTTGGCCAAATTATATTGGTAACACATTGAAAATGATGCCGGCCAAGGGAAATACAAATTTGAAAATTTAAATTGCCACATTTATGAAATGTATTTCAAGTATCTTACTTATTTTGATGGCAAGAGCTTTTTGTCGCAAAATTTGACATTTTCGATAAAATTAGTTTCTTACCAGTTTGTGATTTCTAGAAACCAAAAAATAATTTTGATTCGATCACATTGAAGATTTTCTTCCTTTAAGCATCAAATAAATCAAAAAGTGGCTCCATCCTGTTCTTGCAAACAAGTGAACAGAAACCAGTGTAATCAGTTGCTGTTCAATTGTCACAAATTAGTTTGACCCCGGCTATTATTGAAAACGGAATCAATGGTTTTTATTCAAAAAAATTGGAATGTTTTCCTTGAAAAACAAAAGAATAAAAAATCATGAAATTTTCCAGTAAAAGCAATTTAACTTTTTTCTTTTTTTGTAGTGTGACCAGTTGAATGGATAGAATCTGTAGGTAGAAACTAAGACCGGTTAAGACAATAAAAAGACAATAAAATTTTTTTTTCTAATACAGATTGGGAAAAACAGAGTATCAGTTGAAACCTTTGAAACTTTTGGACACTTTTTATGGGACTTTCAAAATTAGTCTAAGCGAAATGCTGTTCAACGTTTCAATCCTTAACATTTTTTCAAACCAATAAATGAAAAAGAAAAGCAAAAGGAAAAACAAATTGGAAAAAATAGGAAATGGGAAATACTTTTCTTGGAAAACACTCCGAAAATAGTGTTATTTTTAGTAAGAAAAACTGTTTAAGTTTCTTACGCATATCATTTTCCAACCGAGTACTTTGGGATAGAGAGTTTTGAAAGTTCTCCTCGCTTCTCAAAAAATTTAAGAGTTGCTGAAAGGGCCTCAGAAGGGTATATCACTCGTAATTCTACAATTGATTTCTCATTCTGTTGGCTGAATATCCGTCAGAAAGAATTACGCCGAATAGACGTTTGATCTGCATTTATATTGGCATTAGTAATGCGACTGTTTGGCAATAGCCTTTCAAGAAAGTTTGTTCACAGAATGGTCAATTTGTAGTATTCCGGAATATTTTGTCAAATTGCGTTTTTTCTTGCTCCTTTGAGCAAGTTTTTCATGGTTATTTTCATCTGGCATTAATAACTATATGCTCGCTTATTTAATTTTTGAACGAAGAAAATGTTTTTTGTTGGCTATTTGGCCATACTATGGTGCTGCTATATCGCAAATAATGCCAAGCAAATGTGTGAATTTAAAAATTAAAACTACGAAACTTAAGTTGCCTAAATAAAAAAAGTTTTTCAAGTATCTAATTTGTTTTAATCGCGAGAATTTTTTTCACAAACATGAAGCTGTCGGTGAAGTTATTGTTCTATTTCACCAGGTTATAATTGCTGGAAGTCAAAAAATTAGTTTTGATTCGATCCTTTTGAAAATGTTCTTGCAATGCTCTACTCTGTTCATGATTTGCAAACGGAAGCAAGCGCAACTGAACTCTGTGCAATGGGCACAAAAGTTTTGACCACGGCTATAAGTGACAAACGGATTCAAAGGTTTTATACAAAAAAAGTTCGCAAAATTTTCTTTGAAAAAACAAGAAAATTTTTTTTTTCCAAATAACTGTTTCAATTTTTTCTGATGTACCAGTTGAATGAGTAGCATCTGTAGGTTAGACCTAAGATCCATTCAGATGATGACCAGAAAAAAATCTCGTATTTGCTTCCAGTTCAGATTGGGAAAAACAGTATCTATTAAAACTGGATCTGAAAAGCTGAACCTATAAAACTTTTCATGAGACATTAAGAATTGTTGTTAGATAACAGTTGATTTAGTTTGTCTTAGACCAAGACTGGTGCTGTTCAACGCTCCAATTACCAACATATTTTCAAAACAATACATAAAAAAGGAACACAGTTTTCCATGAATCAAAAAACTTTGAGATTAAAAAAGTTTTGTTCTGAAAAACACTCGATACTTAAGTGTTATTTCTTGGTTTAGAAAAAAGAATGTTTCAATTCCTGATTACGATCATGTTTCCGACAGCTTATTTTTAGCATTGAGAGAAAAAAGTTTGTAAATTTCTCATTGCTGCTCAAAAAAATTTGAGGAACTGCTGAAAGGGCTTCAGAAGAAGTTGCACCCGACTTTCTACGATTGATTTGTCTTTCTGCTGGCTAAATAACCTTAAAAACGATTTACACCGAAATACAATTTTATCAGTATTTACTGTTAGCAAGAGTACTGCATCTGTTTACTACTTTCTTGCAAGAAAGTTTGTTCACAGAATGGTCACATTGTAATTCCGGAACATTTTGTCAAGTTGCGTTTTTTCTTGCTTCTTTGAGCGTTTTTTCACCAATCTTTTCATAAGGCATTAAAATTTTTATATCCGCTGAATAAATTTTTGAGTGAGGAAAAGGTTATTGACTTCGTGACTTTTTGTTTAAATTTAGTCGACTAAGTTGCTTTTTCCCAAAAAAATTTTCAAAACAAAGAGTTTAACATTTTTTTAATCATATTCTAGCGATATATATTTTTTCACCTGATTTTTAGAGTGTTATGGAATAATCATGAAAAATTAATTTCAAAACTCACCAAACTATCAAAAATATGTTTTCAATTGTTTTCAAGCCGATTTTCGGAGTTTCTAACAAAAAGCCGTCTTTTTGGAGCGTTGTTTTTTTGTTCTTTAATAAAATTTGTACTCCTCGCTTGAAGTCAATCGGCAGCCAGAATGACACCCTCCTTGGCGGAGAAAAAGCATCAGCCATCCCCAATTTTGCCCCCCTCCAAAAAAAATGGCTACTTGTTATCGAAATTAAATAACAACTTGTCGTAAGGTCTAAACAAAATAACGAAAGTTGACCTTACCTGTCAAAAATTTACCCTGAAAGCGTTCAACAGAAAGGAGCTTTTTTGCTTCAAAAGATTAGCCAGAAATGTCCGCCGGTTAGTATTCAGATTTGTGGGGTTTGAAGATTTCGAAAGAAGCTTTATTGCTATTCCGAAGGTGCTCAATTAGTACACCTCCTTTTTCTGTTATGAAGTTTGTTTTGTTGTTTTGAAATTCTTATATTTTTTAAAATCTCACCTGATTTGCTACGGTTTAGCTAAACTATTAATAATATCACTTAATGATAAGTTTAGGCAACAAAACAAACAAGTTTATCCTTACCTCATTGGTCGCCTGAAACCAAATAACTGTTTGCATAAAACCGAAAAAGGAAATTGCGCGCAATTATTTAACATCGTTTTTTTCAGCGCATTACGATTACTCCACTTGGGGCAGATTTGAAAATGAGGATATCTCTAAAAAATCATTTTTGTCCTTAAACTTTTCTTTCAATTAGGCGTTCTTAGGAGGGTTTGACAAGATTTTTGAAGGTCCCGCAAAAACCTTGATGTAACCCAGTTTAACCATGGAAAAATAAGTAATTTGCGTAATCTGAGAAATTTACTGAACTTTAAGGCTATTGAAGGTAATTTCGGTCCCTAAATAATTCTAATAAAGTTGTACATGTTTGTAAAACACTAATTTGGCAAATTCTCAATTTGGATCAAGATTAGACAAAAAAAGAAAACAAAAAAAAAACAAAAAATGCTTAAAAGATCACCGAAGTTAACATTTCCGAAAATCTTAACTAAGATATGGGTCATTTTGGCTTTTTTGAATTAATCAAGTTTTACGCTGAAACTACCGAGTTAACAAATGAGAAAATTACCAAAAAAAGCCTCTCAGACAGTTCAACCAAGATCTTCAGACGTTTTGCGCAATTTTTGGAAACTTAACCCTTCTAGAACTTTGTTGGGCTGCAGAAGAGGCTCATTTGATTTAAGTTTTGCATCAATTAAGGTGGTAGTTTCAGCGCAATTCTTGATTATTTCAAAAAATTCGAAATTACCCATTTTTGGGGTAAAATTTTATGTGAGATTTTCTGAGAAGAAATTGCGCCATGTTAATTTTTGTGAAACTCTAAGCAAACTCTATTTTGTCCATTTTTTGTCTAAATTTTGTATTGTGACTGGTCAATTTAAAACCTCACTGCATGCTTGCCAAAGTTGATTTCCTAAATTTTCACTCGAAAAATATATAGCCGGCTGAAAACCAGATTGAGCCTCGACAAAGAACGAAAAAATGGTCTAGATATGCCTTGTTAAAATCAAGACACTATATTAAATACGGCTTTTTTCGAGTTATTAAGAACAGATAACAAGATTGTTTTTGAATTATCTGGGCCAAAAACCTCTGGGTGAAAGTAGAAAGAAGTTGCAGAAAAAAAGCGTTTTTTTTGCAATTCCACTGAGAGCTTACGCCTATTTCGTTTCAGTCAGAGTTTCAATTTTTCAGCCTTATTCTAATACAACTTTTGGTTGCTGAGATTGTATCGGAGGCGGAGCAATAAACAGAATGATCTAAGAGAAGAATGGGTCCAAAAACGTAATAACAGGAAAAAAAATCAAATTTTAAAAGCTTCTCGGAAAAACAAGTATAAAATTGACAATATTACCAAAAAAAAAATATTATGTATAATTTAGGTAATTTTATCAAGATTTTTTTCTAACATCAGTAAAAAAACTTGACAGAATTACTCAGTTCATTGTATAGTTTATTCAATTCATTCGTAGTTTTGAGAATTCGAATAATTGTTTTCATCAATTCGCTCGTCTCAATCATTTTGATCAATGAAAATCTTAAATGAAAATCCTAAATGAAAATTCATGAAAGTTCTAATCAATGAAAATCCTAAATCTCGCAAATGTAAACAAAACTAACAAAATGATAAATAACTATTCTACAAAACTTGGAATTTTAAACCCAGTAATTATATTTGGAGCGAATTTCAGTTGATTGTATTTTTGAAAAACACGTTTTCATTTTATGGTTTGTATTTGAAGAAACAACAAATTGACTTAAAACTCACGCAAAATCATGTAAACAATAGAAGGTTGTTCGTCTCGTCTCAAACACAGACGCAAAAAATAACTCTTAAGTTTCCGACTGCCCTTTGAAATCCGACAAAAACTATTTTTAAATAATCTATATAGAACAATGATATTAATTTCGAAGAGAGAGAAAAAAATTGAATTTTCGAAACTCATCTTGCAATTATTAATCAAATTTGTGACTTTTTAATCTTCAGTTTTTTTCAAAAAATGTTAGCTGATAAAAATTGCTTTTTTTAATTAATAGTGCTAATTAATTGTCCGCCGAAGCCAGTTTTTTGTTAGATCTTGTTTGTCGAGTTTTGTAAATTGAGGACAAAATAATTTTCGAAGGCAAAGTGTTGGTTTTTTGACGTTGTTTGAAATATTTAAAAAAAAATAGAAAACATACACAGAGGCGAAGCTGAGTTTTGCCCCACCTGCTATACAACACAAGAAAAAAATTATGCCGAGACAATATATTGTGAAAATAGCATCAGAAGATAATTTACCAAGTAATCACAAAGCAGAAAAAAGTTTGGCAGAAACCCTTTGAGCCGAAAAAATATCAACAGGACTTAAGGCTTATGAAAATTTAATAAAACCCGCTCGCCCTCAAAACTTTAAAAAAAACTTCATTTTGTCGTCAGTCCAAGAACTATTAAACAACTAAGTCGATTTAAAACAAACCGATATCTATTAGGCGTAAAAAAGAAAATAAAAAAGCCGAAAAAAATTCAAAAAAAATTGAGACTAATATGAAGTTTCTAAGCCACCCTCACCCTCAAAATAGAGACACGCAAACGCAAACACATTTTTTTTGCTCGTCAAAAGATGCAATATGAGACCTATAAGCCAATATAATACAGGCTGAAACCTATCAAACCAAAAAAAAGAACAGGAAAAAAAACGAAAAAATTGAAAAAACAATTGTTGCCATGAAAAACTTGAACTATAGTTTCTATTAAGATTGCTAGCTTAAATCAAGAGGTGCACACAAAAAATATGTTTCCATTCAAATTACTCGAAATTAGAACACTAATCTGATTTCAAAAAGTCAAAATCATTTGGACAGAATCATGTGGGCGAAGATAATACAACTTGGCCACGTTGACTCGTTACTTTACAAAAACTGATCGAGTGTAAAGTTTTTCTATACTTATACGCGCTGGTTTAGTTTGGTTTATTTTATAAAAAAACTGACATAGGCAGCTTTTTTGTTATAATCTATGCGTTATTGTAAGTAAAGAGAGGAGTAAAGGAACTTGGAAGGCGGAAATTCTGTTTTGATAACAGATCAACTCTACGAATTCATCCAAGGCAAGCATTTTTTCTATCAAAAGATTGTCAAAACTTCACAAGTGTAAAAACTATTGCTGTGAAGCATCAAAACTATAACTACGATACCAATACTGGTTTACTTTAATTCTTTTTGTACATTTTTGTACGTTCGTACATTTGTACTTAACTTTTGTACCTTTTTTGTTAAAAATCGTATATAGAAGTTTGGATGTTTTTCAATCACGATTCGAATCGTATTCTCGACCGGTTGACCACTATACAAAAAACCCATAGAAATTTGTGCTTCAATTGAGATAAGGCTGAGAATTTTATGTAAAACTGTTTTAAATGCATTTTTTTAAATTGAAAATTTTATTGTCAAAATTACTCCAAGATGAATTCTTAAATCAGTCAACTAAGAATTAATCGGTTTTTTATCAAATGCGACGAGATTCCAATTTCCATTCTACAGTGCTGATTTAAATTAACCGGACAAAACGTGTTAAACTTGAAATTTAAAACGCGTTGGGCAACGTAAGGTGCAACGTAAGGGGCTCGTAAGGGGCAACGTAAGGGGCTCACTTTGATAAAATTATGTCTGTGATCGACTGAGTATTTTCGGCTTAATTTTTGAATAACTAAGAATAGCCAAAATGACCCATTTTTGGGGTAAGATTTCGGGCCCGAATTTCGCAAAACAAATTACACCATATCGATTCTGCTAAAATTTTAAGCAAGTTTTGTCTTCATAAGTTTTCACCTAAACTCAACCCAATTTGAGAAAAATGCGTTTTGCATTTCAAGTTTAACGCGTTTTGTCCGGTTAATTTAAATCAGCACTGTACAAATTCGATTTAGGAGAACGGTATGATATGCCTTTTTTCCACAAAATTCTTTTATAAATTCTTCAAAACAAGTTTTTTTTTAGGTTTTTTTTCACCCGAAAATAGCGTGAAAACAAAACGGCAAGGAATAAATACAAACTCTAAGCAAGGCCTACAGACCAACATATACGTCGATGTCCAGTGGTCAAAACGCGTAGGTTGGAGTTCCCCATCTACGCATATTTTAACAAATTAATAGAGCAGATTGAAAGCCTAAATTACCCATTTTTCCCTCACTGGAGTCTCATGGATAAAATTCGATTGGAAGAAATTTTAGTTGAAAAAAAAACGTTGGACAAAAAAAATCTATTATAGATGCCAGTTTTTAAACGTAAATCAATTTTAGTGCACTAAATTCTTTTTTTTTCGTACCCAAATAGTCCATTGTTACCCATTTTTTTCCATTATACTTATCTTACATACTTCCATGAAAATCAAGTTTTTTCTTCATAAAAATCCATAATATTCAACTTTTTCTGCAATTTTTTCCTGCAAAAAAATTGTTTACTCAGCTTGTTGCACTTTTTCTGCAAAACTATGACAAATAAAAGATAGTTTTGAACTAAATTGTTTTTTTTTCATACTAAAATAATCCATTGTCGCCCATTTTTCTTCCATTAAGGTCGGTTTTTTTCTCAACATAATTTAACGCAAAACTATGACAAATCAAAGATAATTTTTGAACTAAAAATTAAGCAACATGAGTAAAAAATGAAATCATGTTGGTTTTTCATAAAAATCATGTTTTTGTTTCTGGCTGTTTTTTTGTTGTAATTCTGTTTACATCCCCCAAGCTCTCAGTTCACCCCCTCCCCCCCCCCCCCCCCCCCAATATACACTTTAATTCCCCCCACTTAAGTTTTTAAATTGAACGATGATAGTAAAATTGGGCGATGATTTTAAAAAACATTTAAAAGAAGTGTTAAATAGTAGAAAAAAATTTAAAATATAAGTATTATATGAAAAGATAAAGTTTACGAAACTTAAAATTCAGCAA